TACTAGTGACCAAATTGAAAACCGCTGTACGCTAGGTTCAATCGCAGGTGAACAAGTTGGCTGAGGCAGATATCCTTCGGGTACTTTGCCATAACATACAAACCAAGAGCTCTTTCTTTTGTGTGAATATGTAAATATTTATACCGTTATCGGGTTGTGTGAGGACGATAGTAGAGTTCTTGAGTAGTCTACATAAAGGCATTATAGTGAAATGAAATTTTAAAGTGCTGGGTTAAAATCACTGTTAATTTCAAGAAATTGGTGTGTTAATTACTGAATCCATTGCATTCGTGATTTGTAACTTGTATATATTTGCTTCAGATATTAATTAGTAATGTGTCATTCCTATTTTTTGTACTATGCTGAACTGCTTTAGTATTTAGGACTGAATCATTTTCCATTAGTTTGGCTAGTTATTGTTGCAAATATTTCAAAACTGCATATTTCAGAGAATTTCTATGTAAATTTGATTATTACAGTGCAAAAATAGTGTGAATATGTAAATAATTTGAATATATAAATATATATTATCTAGCTGATTTATTATGTTATCAAGCTGTGTGAGGACGATAATAGAGTTCTTGAGTAGTTTACATAAAGGCGTTATTGCGAATTTTAACGTGCTAGGTTAAAGTTACTGTTAGTATAGAAAAATTGGTATAAAATTATTCAATCCATAGCATCATATATCATATATCATCATATATAATCCATAGCATTGCTTATATTTGTTTACATGAAATTTTTAATTATTTAATAATGCGTGATTCCCATTTTTGTACTGTGCTGAACTATTTTAGTGTTTTGTATTGAATCGTTTTCTATTAGTATCATTTATTAGTATGAGTAACTATTGCTGCAAATATTGAAAAAATGCCTATTTCAGGGAAAATGTAAATTTCATTATTTCATTGCACCGGAGAGACAGCTGCATTAGGAGGGTTTGCGAGGTTTTTATCCGTGTAACTTTTGATATGTATGTCGGGCCTCCACCCACCAGGGGCCGAGCATAAAGTCGCTGAACACTGGTAGTTCAGTCCGAGGTTTGAATCCCGCGAATGGGCTGGCTGCATAGGTGTTTTCGTGGTTTTCCCCATGTGTAACGTGTATACGAGCCAGTTTCCCTTAGAAAGTCCTCCACGAAGGCATCCCTTCCCTTAGGCAGATAGCGCTAGTGAGCTTTGCCATAATTAAATACACCGTATGTCGGGCCTCCAGCGGCTGAGCGGTAAGCTCTGAACACTGGTAGTTCGGTCAGGGGTTAGAATCCCGGCGAATTTGCTGGCTCATGGGAGTTTCCGTCGTTTCACTCATGCGTTATTTGCATACAAGACAATTACTCATCGAAAGCCATCAGCGAAGGCATCTCTCTTCTTAGCAGATAGCCCTCTTATGCTTTGCCGTAAGTAAAGAAACAACAATTTGTTATGTATATTTCTTTCATAACAAAAATGGCACATAAAGAATTTCTTTCTATAAAATGGATTTTATATTTTATCTCAAACCCTACCTATTCCTATGTTTATTTAAAAAAATTGAAATTTGTTAGAGAAACTTAAAGGAAGATAAGTGAGGGTGGCAGTTTTAAGTTTTTGCCCTGCCTAGAAAAAATGCTAAGTCTGGCGCTGGTCATACCTACAAATGACAGAAAAATCGCAACATTCCATAATGCTCCATCAGACTGGCTGTCGATCCAGACGACACAGGACCATACATACAAAATTTGCAGTACCAGTGCAATGATGGAAATCAAAATATATAGCAACACACACAGCCTGAGTCGAATTTAGCAGTAGAACTTAGTAGTACAAATGACCTCCACATAAGTGAAGATTCTACACGACCTTAAATGTAAACACACATGAACAATTCAAAGTGATTAGTAGAACAGGCAATAGGGATTTTTTCTGTTATCATTTTTTCCAAGTTTATTTCACACTGTGTAGAGTTAAGAAGGTGAGCCACTCCTTTTTCGTAATCTGATATAGCGATTATGCAAATCTTCGTTTGTAATTAATTGATTTCAGTGCATTCAATTTTATTTTTTGATATTTATTTATCTATCTATATTATGTGTATTATTGTGTGTGCTGGTGCCCACGCATGCACAGTCAACTCTATGCGCAAGTGTAGATCATTACAATCAACAAGGGCCATGGATGAACGGAGATATTCGAAGATTTGTTCAGGGCTAAACTGGTTCCTGAAGTGAAGGATTTTTTTTAAAAAGTACATGGTTACCAGAAAAAGCAATATTGTTATTAGATAATGCACTTTCTCATCCAAAAAATACCATTTTAAAAACAATGGATACTTTAATGATGACTAAATTTTTGCTACCAAATGTTACCAGTTTCATTCAGCTGATGGACCAAGGTGCAATATCTTCGGTGAATGATTTTACCATTCTGTTTTTCTGATAACTCTTGCTGAGGAAGATGATTTAATGAAGTTCCAAAAAAAAGTTGACTACATCGAATGCAAATACAGCTCGGTCAAAAGTAAAATCAAGAACACTGGCTTAATCATAGAAAGATTCTTCCTAATATAATTGAAGATTTACCTAATCGCAAAGAAGTCAAGGCAATATGTGCCAAAATAACGAAAATGTAATATTTTTCAAAAATGAAAATCAGGGAAACATGGAATGGGCCAATGGCATTTCAACTGAGCCAGGCTTTTAATGCTCAAGTGATGTGGATATCGTTTCAAATGTCACAAGAACAGAAGAAGCACAGAGTGATACTGATAATAAAACTATATTAATCCCAAGAGAGAAATGACTTTAGTGGAAACTCAGTTGGACTGTTAATCAAAGAGGATTTCAATATGATAAAATAGGACTTTAAAAAATAACTCGGTGAAATTTAACAAATATTTAAATGTGTTCAAAACCAATAAAAAATTACTGACTTTTTTAAGAAAGAAACACATCTAATATGCGTGAAAACTGATAGCTTGGATTATCCATGTTCTTCAATTATCTGTAACTGGCTTCCCTGACATTAGCCCAGATAAACAAGAGTATACTGTATTTCACAGAATGTCAGCTAAAGACATAAAAGGAGGTGGCAACAAGATACCAGGGCGATTTTTCCTTACCTTGCCATGAATTCCCTCTCTCTGGCAAATGCAGGAATTTTACACGACCCATCACCAATCGAACGTTTAATTAACCTTCTGAATAGCATGACCAGCTTTATTAGGTGATGAGATATTTTGTCACATGGTATATATTGGTAATGTGGTATATATTAGCTTATAATTTAAGATATTTTGCTTTCTTACTTTCTTCAATAATGTAAATGTCATCTTAATTAATGTAAGTTTATGAAAATAGAGGACAAAAGTAAATAAATATGCAAATTTAGCTAATAAATGCTATTTACAGATCTTCATGACAGATCCCAAAACCTACACCTCTTTGAGATTTAACAGAGAGTATTTTGGATATGATAGACAAAGTTGCATTATTGTTACGAATTTTGTATTTAGTTAGATCAGCAGTTCTCAACCTTTTGACTAATGTGCACCATTCTAAACAAAAATTGAGCACCTTTGGTACCACTACTACAAAGTACTACTACCACCACCACCACTCTTGAACAAAGCTCAGAATGTATAAATTTACGAGTGTTAGAGAAAAAAACTCAATCAGGATGTTGGGGTTTTAAGTTTTGAATTTACTAGTTAAAAATACTTTGCTTCTTTGCAAACTGTAACACCTATTTTTCTCTTGGTACCAGTGGTACATGTAGCACCGTTTGAGAACCCCTGAGTTAGATATTTTAAGTAGAATTAAAATCGTTGTATTTCCTTGTGTAATGTAGCACGAGACAAATATTAAGAAAAAGCTATGCCGGAAAAATAAACATACATGAGCATGTGCATTTAACATCGAATAAATGGATATCTCGGTGATTTGTATTGAATGTGTGAATAAATGTAATTGACTGCTGTGTAAGCTGTAACCATAATTACATCCTCTTATAGCTTTCCAGAAATCTCGAGAAGCAGAAACTACTCGAAATATCTCATGACCAATTAAAAGCTATAAACAGCAAAAGAGAAAACATCTCAGCTCAGTTGTTTAGGTAGCTGTTGTTGTTGCGAGTTCAGCGAGAAATTGGATTAGCTTTCTCTTTGCATATTGTTCTATTTTAACGTTTTTAGTAGTTTGAAGTATAACTGCTGATTAAATTGTGCGATATTGTGAACATTTGTACGAATATATCCAGGAAAATTCCAGCATTCTGCTATATCTCTGTTGATAAGAATAAATTTTATTACTCTATTATCAGACTTGTGCATTCAATCTATTGCGAACCTATACACACGCAACAATATGCTTGAACTCTAGTTACAATAAAGGCAAATTATTTCCACCATGATTGATCCTATATAATGTAAAGACTTTGCAAAGGACCAATCTTGGTGGTTCCAAACCCATTAAACGAACGTCCAGGAATTGAAGAATATGTCACCTTCCCTACGTAATACACATACAGAACACATAAAGCATCCCATGTCTTAAAATAAGCATGTAAAAGTAGCCATTCTTTACCACAACTTTGTATTTCTGAAGAACTTTTTGCCTCAACAAGCAATGGCCTGGTATAGCTCATACATCATGTGCATGTGATGTCAGCAAAATAGTTCGAGTCGATTTGGCATTGTGAACGTAACGTCAATCCAATTTCAAGCTTTACATTTACTCACTCTTTTAAAAGTTCTTAAATATATTTCTACAAGAATTGCAATTTTGACTGCTTTTCTTTCAAATGGGGGGAGACATAATTTTATTTTAAAGACATAATTTTATTTTAATTTTTAAACATTTCTATGTTAAATGGATTTCATGTATGCAGGAAAAACCTTTATTTGAGTTGTTTAGGTTGATGACATTATCATCGACCTGCTTCTTAATCAAAGAAAATTTACTATGCAAACTGAAAGGTTAGCCTTCTTTCGTTTCAAGGTAGATAAATAAAACAAACTGATAAATATATAACAATTCTTTATCAAGGTAACGTAAATACATTCTTCATAAAATATATAAAATATATCACAAATTATCTTCCACTGATGTATTAAGGGAGAATAATGTTTCATCGTCTTCTTCTGATGAAAGCTCTTGTATAAAATAATGATTAATATCGTCGTCATCATCATCGTCATCTCCATTTTCAATTTCCATACTTTCTCCTAAAAAATAAAAACACAGAATTTAATATTGAAAATGGACGTAGCTGTTTTTCTCTAGCTATATCAAAGACGTAAGAAAATCAAGAGAAATATAAAGTTTATAATATTATGTTATTTGCAGCAATTGGTTGCGTAATATGTCCTGTTACTTTGGTGATAAATATTGAAAAAAACCTGTGCATTTTACTTGAAAAACTTTTCAAATTGGGGGTCAACTTTGCAACTTGTTTTATTGATTATGGCAAAGCATTGCGGGCTATTTACCTAAGAAAAGTAATGCCTTCATTCAGGACTTAATATGGGAAAATGGCTCAAATTTATACCACACATAAGGAAAACCCAGAAGAATATGATGCTCATTCATTAAGATTCAACCTGGATCAAACTAGCAGTGCTCTTAAAGTCTTAGATACACACAGGTAGGCAATTACTTTACAAAAGGGCAAAGACTTACAAGAATATCAGTTCCAAGTTTTTAAGTATAAAAATAATTGAAAATGATCTTTTATTAAAAACTGTAAACGCAATTCAATGAGTGGTTTTTTCCCAATGTTCTGGTTATTTAAATCAAGCCTGAAATAAAACTAGAAGTGCCATCACAAATCAATTAATCTTTACATAAAAATAGATCATCATTCATTTTTAACCGAGATCTTAATATATGTAACATTTTTTATTTTAATTATAAGAAAAATATTTAACAATAAAATATGGTAATAATATCTATGCTCTGGCATCACTAAATTTTTAATTTATTTTTATTTGCAAAGTCTTTTTACACATTTACAATAATGCTACTTTTTTTATTTTGAAATTTTTAATATAAGTATTCCTCTTATAAATGGTAGACAGGTTCCTAGAAAATACATTATGTGAAACCGTGTTATAAAAGACAGAGATGCAAAATACAGAGATACAAAATACAGAGATGCATTCTAAAAATTAATAAAAAGAAAAATAATGGTTCTCACTAATCTTTCATTTAAATTTAGACTCTTTGGAACATGAGATGCCTTTTCTCCTTTTAAGAAATGATTCAAAATTTGTACTTTGATCTCCAAAGAAATAAATTTTCTTATTTTCAGACATATGAAACTGAATGATGGGATTGTATATAATTTGATTAGGGATTTCCCTTTTTTTATCTATATATTATTTGATAAAAAACGGATTAAAACCTGAAAAGTTATGATTTTTTTTAATCAGGTGATTCTTTTTTAAATACCCTGCACACAGTTAAATTCATATAATTGTGTATAAAAACACCTTCCACATGCTAAATTGTCTGCTATTCCTGCACAAATTTTTCATTCCCTTTTTGTATTTTCCACAGACAGTCTCATTTCATGTCCATAGTTTGTTACATTTAATTTTCCAACACTCTGCAACAAATAAACTTTATTTTTAAACAGGGTTTGGTTAATGCAGAGCCCAGTATATCAGTAGATGATTACATTTTGCCATGACACAAAATCAGCAAACTGAAAAATTGAAAAAAATCAGTCCTAAAACCTTTGTCAACACAATGCAATAAAGTAAATTAACACCAAAAAGGTCACTTTTAATTTAGAAGGAACATAAAAATTAAACAAACCTTCATTATCTTCCTCATCAGATGCATCATCACTATCTTCAGTTTCTTCACCATCCTAGATGCAAATATTAAAAGGTTTATAAAATAAAATATTGCAATTAGAAATAGTTTTGTACATAGCTGCCTATGTTGAAATGTAAAAAACTAGCACATACATTTCAGGAAAGTTTTTTCACTGCACAGTGAAGTCATTTTAGGAGAATCCAAATTGTCTTAAATCTGCTTTAAAATGCATGATTCAGGTTACATGCATTTTGTAATTTTATTTCACTTTTATTCTGAGAAAATCCTGAGTGGGGAATTAAAGCTTTTTTTAATACAAGTACTTTTACACAGGATGAAAATACAATTATTAAGAATTAATATACATGCTACTGTGTGGCTAAACTCGGTAACCAATCATATACTGATGAATGCAAAATTAAATACAAATATTAATTGAATAAATACTCATTGCATCTATATAATAAGTTCAACAAATGTCTAGATTAGAAAACTTCAGATCAAATAAAATTTAATAAGAAAAATAATGCTGAAAATCACTGGAAATGGAATTTTAATAATTTAAATTTGAAAATGAATGGAATTTTAATAATTTAAATTTTATCAATTCAATATATTTCATTTACTGTGAAAAAAAATTTCTTTCGTAAAGGCTAAAATTTCAAAGCTCGAAGATTTGGTGATCTGTTGGGAGATTTGATGAGAGACTGTAAATCTCAAAGCAAAAGCAGGAGAGCTGGCAGCTATGGTCTAGAAATGAATTACTTTGAAGCCCAAAATAGTAAACAGCTATTTAAGACCTTGCTTAGTAATCAAATATTTCAGATGTGATGGCAACACTTTTTTTTTTAACTGTAAATCACAATTAACCATGCGCCAGAAAATGTTACAAGACGGAATATTTATTTCCACGCACGCGCACACACAGAGATATTTGTGTGACATATATATCTGCATTTTCTCAAAAATAAGACTCTCCTCTCATTTTATAATAAATTTTCAGAAATAAAAATGTAAATGAATATTTGAGCCGCTCAGACAGAATAGTGGTTAGGGGAGCTTGAATGCGATACCAAAGGGCCTGAGTTCGAATCCCGGAGAAGGCATGGCTGTAACTGTCCGTCTCTTCATAGGAGGCAGTGGTGGCTCACCTATTAGGTGCCTCCATAATAAAGGGACTACCACATCTGGCTTTAGTATAGATTAATGGACTTTGTTACACTGTAACTGTTCACAATCTGCCATTGGGAGAAAAAAAAATATTTGACGAGAGTAATATTTTAATAAGAATTCATTTGATTCTGATTAGAATGAAAAGTCAGCTACCTAATTTAATATTTTACTATGGTACCCAAAGAGAAATTAAGCTAGTCTAATTTATTACCTATTTATTTCCAGCCATATCAAAAACCACGATAGAGAACGTTTAAAAAATTTTATTTTATGTTCCTGTTTTAGATATTTAATAAAGATGTTTAATTTTTCTTTGAAATTTAATCTATCTTACTGATTAACAAACTACATGATTTAGGACCAATAAATGCAGATGTTCATCTCTATGAATTAGTAATTAAAACCATCATACCTTTTTCCTTTTTCATAATAATGATACAGAAGTCCGTGCATGCTATTAGTAATAAAAACAGTGCAAATTGTAAACATTTGTTATTCTGAATGGGAAAATACCTCTAGCAGCTTCCACAGATGTCATTTGCTTTAAATATGTACTGATGAACTCAATCAATGATATGTATAGGCAATACGAGGTGGTATGAAAGTTTTGAGACTAGTTCTGTAACACACCAACAGATAGGAGCACAAGGTTACATGCACCAACCTTTGTAAGTCAATGTGTCAAAAAACATCATCCTAAACACACTGGAAGCAATTGGAAGCTGTGCAGCTGGTGGTATTCTGAACATATGCATTACCATGTCTGCAATTTCATCATGGACAGCAAGTTATAACAACAAATGAATGTGAAATTCTGTGCAAAACTAGGCAAATCCTTTTCAGAGATGATTCAGCAAGTGTATGGCATTGCTGCAATGAGTCATTCGAGGTATTCTGAGTGGCACATGCACTTCAGGATCGGAAGAATATTACTGGAAGACGATGAGAGATCAGAACGACTTTTAATGAGCACAACACAAAAAAACTTCAAAACTATTCAGAAACTTGTGCATGAGGATCATCAGAGTACAATCTACAACACTGCTGCCATTATTGATGTGTTATACAGAACACTGCAGAAAATCCTCACATGTGATTCAAACATGCACCATACTGCTGCTAAGTTTGCTAACCCAGGAGCAGAAGGAACACTGCATCTGTCAGCATGTCATGCATGACCTGTCCTTCATGTCGAGGATCATTACATGTGATGAAACTTGAGTGTATGGGACAACAGAGCTAGTCTTGAAAGCTTTTGATATTACCATGTATTCTGCATGGGCTCATCTAGGCTAATTATTTTAGCACATCAGCATATGTAACTTTTAATGTAAATATACAATCTTAATATAAAACTGCATTATTATACAATTTAAATATACAGCCATGTATATAAATTTTTAATGATGCAATTATTTTTTTACAGACAATAATTAAGCTCCTTCCTTTCATTTTGCAATTTCATCTATTGAAATACTTGTTTAGATTCTAGTAAATTTTGGAATAACAATATAGCAAAAATGGGGGTCTTAATTTTAAGTAACTACAGTACACATTTAAAAAGCTTTTGCTTTAACTACTCTTTTTTCCCCCTATTTTTTCCCCTTTCTTTCTTCCCCCCCCCCCCCGGGCCTTCAAAATACAGATTTTACTTTTACATTTTTTCACTAAATTTCAATACTTTTATTTCAAACCCAATTCCAATATATGTCAATCATAAAGTATTTTTCATGAGATTTATGAAGACTGTTCCAGTTATACATGTAAAATTAATTTTTGTTTCTACAAATTTTGTAATTTTTTGTAAAAATAGAAATTATGGCTAATTGGTAATTCGTCACCACATCTGTATTTTAAGCAGACAGATGTTTGAATAATGCATTTAATAAACTGTCATCTTATCATTTTTCTAATAAAAATTCTTTTTTCTTATTATCAACTAATAAGCAATGAAAAATTATTTAAAAAAGTAATTTTAGGAATTTGATTAAAATCATTAAAATTCTACCCCCAATAATCAGTCAAATGAGGAAAAATCAATTAATTCAAAAAACATCCCCATATCAAATAAATATTTGACAAATTACAAAATAAAGAATCTATGAAAAATTTATACTGTTCTGATACAGTCACACCATGCCTTTTTTGGTGTCATACCGTCGAATTTCAGTTTATTTCTTTTATGCTTTTGGCTTGATACTACACATTTTTAAGTCAAAACATTTTTTTGAAATTTTTCTCTTCTTTTTATTAAAATTCATTAAATTTGTTACCCTTGCCAGACAATTCACTCTCACTAACATCTAAATCTTGTTCATTATCTGACCCATCAAAATATTCATATTCACTTTCATCATTCAACATTTTGAATGTATACAATAATAGCATAAAATATCACTAAAGAACATGCAAACAATGTGGATCGACTTGACTTATGTAAAGACATACCACATCTTCTCATAATCTACACAATATTCATACTTTAGTGGTACCATCTATTTACCAATAACTTAACTAGTCTTGCAAATTTTAAATAATTCAGGGTTGTGAGGGAAAATTATTGTTTCTATAGCCTGCAGCAAAGCATGGAACATTATTCTAGTCTAAAGTTTCTGTCATGTGATAGAAAATCCCATGAATTATTTTTGAATGTACTCGATTCTGCACAATAATTGCATATTTTTGCCTAAACAGGTTTGATGATAATGATACATCAATTTGAGTTATCCCAAGATAAAGGAAATTGCATAGATTAAATAAAATAAATTAACTCAGGTTATGTCCTTAAGTGGTTAAAGAGCTTTATGTTTGTTATTTTATTTATATCTGAGAAAATTTCTGTTCACATGTGTAGATCCATTAAAATAATCAACATTTCTCAAACAAAATCCTTAAGGCACATTACAGATCTCAAAACGTCATCTCAACTGCAGAACCTGTGGTATAATCTCAAGTTACAGCTTACTCGTCCACTATTTGTTGTCATGGAAAAGGGATCATACACTATCGGTAAATTTGTTACAAGTTTTTGAAAAATCCTAAACCTTCCTAACAAAGTACTTACCAGAGAAAGATGATACTCAAAATTCTATCTTGATTTGAATAAAATTTAGAAGTTATAAAACAGTTCATAAGCTGAGAAATTTAAAATATGTTATAAATATGAAGCTATTTTGCTGGCGGAGGTGAAAAGCATTAAAAGTAAACTACTGTGAAAAATATTACTACTGCTGGCAGGCTTCATGAAAATAGTGTGCCATAGTCTGCTCAGGCCTGCTGTTGAGATTACAAGATTTTTCAAAGCCAGGAAACGTGTGAAATCAACTGTGCCCTCAAAAAGATTCAAACCATGGTTATTTCAATGCTTAGCTAGTCCTGTTAACCACTTACACCAAGCCAGTAAGCAAGGGAGAATATGACAACTCCTCCCAAAGAAATTTTTGGATTATGTTATACTATAGTTGTGTTTCTCGTTCAAGCCACTAGAATTTATAATGCTAACTAGCACAAGGCTTGATACCTTTAAATAACAACAACAACAACAACAAAAAAAAAAAAAAAAAAAAATATATAATAAAAATTTTTTTTGTTGTAGGCCTACGTAACCAAGCTATTCAGATTTTTCTGTTTGACAGTTGTTGATCTGATTAAATACAATCCTTTTTTTAGGAGAGGAAAGGATAAGCTAAATCTGAAAATTTATTAAAAAAAAACGTGCTACAAAAAAAAAAATCTTACCTCATCGCCTTCCTCCTTGGTTCTTCCGATTTCATACAATCGGCACACAGAGTCAGCACCAGCGACTGCAGAAACTGAAAAGTGATCCACCGTAGACTGCATCTGTAAACATTATTTTGCACTTAATACCTCATTAACATGTGTACTTAAAAGAAATGTATAATTAACATAACTATTAAACAAATAGTCGTGATAACTGAATTTACATTAGAATTTGATATAAATATGAATGTCAAAACTAGGTACAGCTTTATTTGTATTTCCATCTGCCCTCTCCTGTGCCAAAGAAATGACTACAGCTAAATGACTTCTGTACATTTCATGTTTCAGCATAATTTAAATACATACAATAATACATTCAAGACACTAATCAAGCTGAATTAATTTTGAAAAATGATTTTTCCCAGAATTGAATGTATCAAGAAAATACACCTTTAAAGCCATCAGCATTGCCAATGCACAAAGTCTTTCCAATTAAGTTCAAATGTCCACTCACTACTTTATAAAATCTGCCTTACCCCCCCCCACACACACACACACAAAAGAAAAGCAAAATAAGAAAGCCCATTATTTTTCAGATATTATATTTTTAAATTTTTTTCAAATATTGTGTCGGATACAATGCGAATAAAATATTCTCAGCAAGAGAAATAGGGTACAGTAAGTCTTCAATTGCTTCCATTTCCAAAAGTGGTACTATTTGTTTACTTTGAACTATTCAAAACCTGAAATTATTATTTGAGAGGACTGACCTAACTACTTTCTAACTTTGCAGATTTTTTTTTAAATTATATTTCATTGACTTCCCAGTTAAGTATCAACTATTCTGATATTAATAAATAAATAATCTAATAAAAACAGCTGCAAAACTTGAAATATGAAAAATTGACAGTTTAAAAAAGGTTTCTGCTTTGCACGGTGACGCCCATTTCAAATGAACTCTAGACTGACTTGAATTTGCTTTAAAGTGCATGCTTAAGGTTATTCAACTATTTAAAACATGACTGCAATAAAAAAATATTAACATTTATTTACATATTCCAGATTTTATGTTCTTTAACTGGTCATTATGTAATTCCTTTTATATTTTTATATTGAGAAAATTTTGAGTAGGCAAGTAAAGTTTCAATTTGTCAAAGCAGTTTAAAAAAAGATAAACATAAAATTAATATTAAACATAGCTACTATTTCATAGATAATATAACCTTGCAAAATGCCAGTTGTGGTAAGATAGCTTCCTGGCAAAGTGGGGTTGGGGTAGCCAGAAAGGCAGGGTTCACAGATTTGGCCTGAATCACCTATTTGGCGACAAAATTGGCAGTATGCCATAAATGGAGCAAGAATAATCTAGACCGCATTCCTGAGAATATTCTCAAAGGCAGGTTAAAGCTATATATACTCTGGCTGTACATGGAGTACAGCTCCATGTACAGCCAGAGTAGTGTAGCAATAGCGTCTTGATTTCAGAGATTAGGAGAAATCCACTAAGTCAGAACCTGTATTTTAGTGCTTTGCCGTGAAGCCATCTTTACCCTTATAGCCTGAAGGCTGTGTTGCTGATCAATTCAGCACGTTTATCATAGTTTCTTTACAACTGTAAACATATCTTTGGAACTGCCCTGTGTAATACTAGTGAATAAATTGTGTTTTGATTCTTCATCAACTACTCCAAATCTATGAATCTGCAGAACACAACAATACCATAGATTAAGTAATGCAAATATTTACTGATTAAACATTGGCTGAATCTTCCTACAGCTCTACAAACATGCTGATGATCAGGAATGTTAACATGAAATTAGAGCAGTTTAAATTTCATTAATTCAATTAATTTCAATTATTGCTGATAAATTATTTCATTAGTAAAGAATAGAAATTATAAACTGGGAAATTCAATGATCTACCATGAAAGAGGATGAAAAACTGAGACTATTGACAGCTATGTGATACCATTATTTTAACTTAACTATGAATAAAACATTGCAATTTACACTCTATCAACAAACATGCATATACAAATTGCATTGTGAGAAAATATTCCTACAGCAGAATTTTCAGCTTTTTACTTGAACTTAAAAATATTTTTCAGCAAGAGTTCTGATTATGTTGTACAAAATATAATAAAAGATTATGTGACTAAACTTTAGGAATACTATACTGAACTACAAAAATTCTTAAAACTAAAAAGTGAACTGATGAAATGCTTTGAAACTACTTTCTGATGTTGTTACAATACACACACACACTGATACATGTATACATATATTAGCTGTGTGCCGTCAATGAACAAAGGGAAGAACTAGGCTAGTCTTCAGCCATTTTATGTATCAACAGTTTCAAGAAATGTATTTTTACCCGATATTGAAAAGCATTGAGCATCATTTGAAGCCATTTGACTTAGTCAGGTTTTCAAGCAAATGGGAGGAAAATGGATCTCCTCCCTCTCCCCAGCTCTAAGCAAGAGAGAACTAGCTAGCTTTTAACTATTTCTCTAACTGCCTTAGATGTGCTTTTAACTACCAGTTGTAAGAAATTCTAATATTCTTGCAATTCTTATAAGTGAAACTAATTTAACTTTTAAGGCTATATTTTAGTTGGTCGTCATGAAAGTATTCTTATAGTACGTGGAACAATGCAGGGTAAAATGATAATTCTACATAAGATAATGTGAGGTAAAATTATAATTCTAAGTTTAAACTATAGAGAGGAAAGCAGTACAAAAAGCTAGTCCTACAGAAGAAATCATTATGGAGCATGTGCAAACAACCTCTGATGCCATTTTATGACAATGCGCTCATCAGCTGTCATCACAAACCTATGATCTCAATCGCATATCCATCATGATTTTTGAGATAAAATATTTTCAAAAGGCAAGGCAAATGGAAGTTCTACTTTAAATGTTCTCACTGGTACAAGCAAGAAACATTACACCTGTTATTCAAAATGCTTTATAATATGCAAAACAAGAAGTAATCTGTTTTGCTGGCCACAAGCTCTTTTAGGGATTAAACGTGTTTAGTTGATTACTTATTTCTATGACACTGGTCAGATAAAAAAAATATTGATTATTTATGGTAAAATAATTTTGGATTCCTCTCTTGAACCAATTTAATTAATATATTCATCTGAGTATTTTAACCTTTATGGTACTCATTAGTCTTCATATTCAAAATACAATAAATCCTGCCATGGGCCGCAACCTCATGATAATGAAACCCTGCCATTATCACCTTCTCCTTAACATACAAATGAAAGTGACCAGTATTGCCATGAACATAAATATGTACCAATACTGCATTTCACCTCTCTAAGATGACCAGCAGCCTTGTCTGTGCGCATTCATCTTAAAAAGGTGTACTGTGGTTAAAACCACAGTACACCACTGATACAATATACATAATTCGCACATGTGCAACTTTACGTATATATATGGTACATATAACATAAATTATACATATATATAATAAATTCTGTAAATTACTTGATGCTTCTTTACTGCACATAAATAGATTGATGATTCCTTGTATTAAATTGGCAAGATGTTCATGGTATAATAGATGCTAAATGGAGAAGAAAAACTCAAATATGTCGTATGCATAAGACATACTATAAGCGTCTCTAAGACAAACATGTACAGATAGTTAATGCTTCTGATCATCTTAAAGAGGTGAAATAATTTAGTTCTGGACATTCTTGAGATATATATATTGTCAATCATATATCATTTTGGGTGTAATAAGCACCCCACAACTTTGTATAGCTATTCACACAAATGAAACAGGGCAGCAAATGACACATGCTATCACAGCAAGAGGAAAGTGTGAGTAAGTGTGCATTTTGAGGCAGCAATATATATGGTGCTGATTCTTTGTTGAAATTTTGATATGTGATACAATAAAATATTATCCAGATTGCTGCTCTTATATAAGATGGCATTATGCGGATTAATTTTGAAATGACACACTTTAGACTCATATATTACAAACAATTAATGATTTTAGGACAGGAAGGGATGCAGCCAAATTAAAGTTATTAGGGTTTCCTTCCCCCATATTTTATATCTTACACACACATTTTTCTAAAAATATTTAAATTTTGATTTAAATCTCTCCCATCCCTTGGAAAAAAATAGAGAAACACAAAAATTTAAAAAATAACTTATTAACAAAGTGTTATATACATACACTTTTGGGAAAGGGATATATGATCGTAAAACTATATGTTACCTTAAAACATCATCAAAATCATTAGACTTTATTTCTAATGCAAATGATAGTACATAGAAGCAGGGAATTCTTCAACTCTACACCATATTAGAACCTGTTTTATTTATGATAATTATGGTACTCCCCAATAATTGTAAAATATTGGTAAAAAGTCCAGACAAAAGGATTTCAAGTATAAAACTCTACATTTAGCAGCACACGTTAATGATTCAATGATAAATGAAAGACATTATTCATCATCAGCTGGCAATGTCTATAGCTGAAACTATACAGTTGTGGAGATCGTGTTAAATAATTACTTCAAATGAGCATTAAGACATTAATAATTTATTGCAAAATAACAGTACACAGCAAAAAATAAGAACTGTCCATAACTCAAAGAAAATGCAATGATAAAGCAAATCCTCCTAAACATAGAAGAAACACTGCAGATTACTAATGTCACTTACATAGTAAAGTGCAAAACGAAATCAGTCAACTCTTTTAATTGTAGTCTTTCTGAAATAACTCATAATAGACTAACTCATGTGGCTCAAACACAGCTGTTTATATCATTTTGCTCAACTTTCCAAAAGATCCAGGAAAAATTGCTCCTGAAGTTTTAAAAATGTTTTTTAACTTCCAAATGTCAACATGTTAGTGCCAACAATATTGTCAATATACAGGTTGTCCGAAAAGTCTTTCCCTGATTACATAAATTGATAACTCAGGGTAGAAGTAAGATACAAATATGACACTTGTGTTGAATTGTTTACAAACTATCAAAGTTGTTTTTCTGTTTTAGGTTCGCAGTACGTAAGTAGTGGATGAGGTGCAGTGCCCAAGAAGCCATGTTAACCAATCAGGAGAAGGCATAGTGTGTCCTGTGGTACCATGAGACATGATCATCAACCACAGTGCAGAGACACTTCCAGACAATATTTGGAAGGAATCCACCTGATGTCAAGAGCATTAAAGCCTGGTATGAGAAGTTCCAAGAACACAGGATCGGTTGCTGACCTTCCGAAGTCTGGTCGACCAAGAACCTCAGCAAACAGGGTGGAAGCTGTGAGGCAGTCTTTTCTACGAAGTCCGAAGAAATTGGTGCGCAGGGCCTCACGTGAATTACAGATACCAAAAAGCTCTCTCCATGACATTTTACACAAACGTTTATTGTCTCGTGCATACAAAGTGCAAATCGTTCAGGCCTTGTTGCCCAATGACAGTACACGTCGATATGACTTTGCGGTCAAAATGCTATCACGTATTGAGGACGATGATGGTTATCTCAGACAAATTGCCTTTTCCGACGAAGCGACCTTTTTTGTCAGTGGAGTAGTGAATCGCCATAATGTACGCATTTGGAGTGCACCAAAGGCAGTCCAAAGGTGAATGTTTGGTGCACGCTATTGCACGATCGAATTATCGAGCCATTCTTCTTCGCTGAGGCTACCAATCACATCTGAAGTGCATCTGGACATATTGCAACTGTATGCTATTCCTCAGCTGCTTCAGTATCACCCTGATGTCTTGTTTCAGCAAGACGGTGCACCGCCTCATTGGGGTTTGGACGTCCGTGCCTATCTCGATATGACCTTTCCTAGGCGATGGATTGGTCGTGATGGGCCAACGGTTTGGCCTCCATGCTCTCCTGACATAACCCCATTAGACTTCTTTTTATGGGGTTATGTCACGGACGAGGTCTACCGAAAACGTGTACCAGATCTTGAAACCCTGTGGCAACGGATAACCACCACAGTCGTTAAATCGATCCCTCCAGTGATGTTGGCTAATGTGTGGACAGAAATTGAATATCGCCTGGATGTGCTACGTGCTACCAAGGGTGCTCATGTGGAAGCTTACTGATGTGTGAAAAAACTTTGGTAGTTTTGTAAAGAATTAGACACCAGTTTCATATTTGTATCTTACTTCTAGCCTGAGTTATCAATTTATGTAATCAAGGAGAGACTTTTCGGACACCCTGTATGTTAGGAGTGTTTTTGCCTATATTCTAGGCTCTAGTTGAGCTATTTCCACAATTAAAATGATGCTGAATTCAGAATCACATGATCAACAATAAGCACTTATATAAAAATTACATGGCAATAAATTCAATTACGAAAGAATACGCTCTAAGATTGTCACTCCAAAAGCAATAAATAAATAAATAATACAAAATCAAAAATTTAATCAAATGCATTTAAATATGTACAGAAATTTACAATAACTAGAAATTTTTAGTGTGTCTCATTTTATTTTTTTCATTTGTTTATGGAAATTATTAAGGGAGATATTTCTTATATTTAAAAAAAAAATGTTACCACATTCAAAGTGAATTCCTGATGAAAAGCACTTTTTTAAAATTGGAAATAATATAAATATGTTTTTCTAGATAAAATTGTTTCCCATATGTATGCCTCCTAATATGTGTATACCTTATTACATGTTAGCAAACTCAATTACATAAAAATGCACCTTAAAATTACTACCAATACTGTAATAAATAAAAAAAAATATATATATAAAAGTTATAATACAATTAAATTCATTCATATATTTACAGAACTTTATAACACTACTTATAATGAATGCAAACATTTCATTGATTTCTTAAAAAGGGGGGAATGAGAGAAAAGAAGTTATCTTGTCCTCTTAAATTTATTTGGCAAATTATGGCAAAAGCTGCTGCATTCATCGAAAGAAAAATTTTTATCATGAATTTTGCAAAATTATGAGAACATGAAAGAGGTCATGCAAACACGCCGGTCAGAAAATTAACATTTTACTTAATTTTAAACAGTTCTGACGATGTCCAAAATTTCCTTTCACCAGCTGTGACTTTTTCATTTACTTTTTTAAAAACTGTGTTTTAAAGCTTTCAACCACACCAGTGAGATTTTTTATTCACTCACAGTGTAAGAAATATCATTATTGAAAGGTTTAGGTGCTATTTACATGTCACTCCACATATAAATTCAGTTTCACAAAATATAGATCAAATGCCTCCTTTTTCACAAATTCTTACCTCAACAACAGCAACATATTGTTCATTTAAATCTGCAGCTACATGGAAGACAGGTTTTTTTACATCTATTGTAGCTGGAAAACAAAAAATAATGCTACAGTTTACATTCCATACAGTTTCAAATAAAAAATGTTTTAATAATATAGGCTGCACAAAAGTAAATAAACTTTTCTTGCAAAATATGTTTACTCTTTCTTTTAAGACCATAATATAGTCAGTACTTGCAGGTTTTAAGACTGGAAAACGTACCACTGAGCAAATGATGAAAATTATTAAATTTACTTTGAAAATCAACACAATTATTTTGATGCAAAGAACATGTCACAACTTCTTTAATATTTGGAATGACTAATGTCCTAACTATATAATGAATGTTTCAATACCTTCACTGGCAAACAGTGGCTATCTCAAAGAAATTTTTGGCAACTGCGTAACTTCCCAGCTTTTGAATTTTAACTGGCTATCATGATCTCCAGATTTAATACTTGCAGATTTCTTTTCCTGGGACAACTTAAAAGGAAAAGTGTATAGCAATGGACAGGTATGGAGGTGGCGGTGTTCTCGTTTGGGGAGGCATCATGCTTGGTAGTCATACAGACCTTCACATCTTCGACGCAGGTTCAGTCAACGGGACCCGTTATTGTAATGAGATTCTTCTTCCATATGTGCATCTTTTTAGAGGTGCTATGGGTCCGCAGTTTCTTTTCATGGACGACAATGCACCATGTCATCGCACAGTAGCTGCCGAACAGCTCTTAGAGAGTGAGGATATTGAACGTATGGATTGGCCGGCACGATCTCCGGATCTCAATCCCATCGAGCATGTATGGGATTTTCTAGGCAGACGCTTGGCAGCTCGTACCTTACCACCAGTAACGATTCCGGAGCTTCGATTGGCGCTGCAAGACGAATGGGCAGCAATGCCTCAACAACTCATTGACACCCTCATTCTCAGCATGGGCAGACGCTGTGAAACCTGCCTAGCAGTCAGGGGAGATCATATCCCCTATTAAAGACCGGATGTTTCTTGCTGGACACCCATCACAGGGATGTTTCGGCCTTCAGTCGCATTGCGCTCCATGCTACTTTTTCAATAAAGCTTCTTTTTATCCCTCTGATTTCTCTTTTAGTAAGTGTTGCTTAGATTACTCATGTCCTTACGTATTGGGGATCTTACGGTATTAAATGTGTCGATTTGAAAAGCTTTTGTACAAAGTTATATTGAAAAAACCGTCTCGTCCTTAATTTTTGCACACCAGTGTATGTCATAAATGAGCACCTGCATGAATGTTGAAAAAACATTGCTAGATAAAACTATCCGGTAAACCTCATATCTATCTATCTCTATATATATACACACACACTGCAAAATTAAAAGAATTTGAAAATTATGTCCATTAAAAAAATACTGAACCAAAAATACTAATTATGCCACTGAGGAATTAAGCAAATATTCAAAATTGAATATGTAAGCATACATGGGCATGTCTGCAGAGCTGTAATAGTGGAAGGGATATAAGTGCATAAGGGATTTTTGGCTGTTTGTGTGCTCGCACAGCTTCGCAACATTTGCTCTGTTTCTAATAAGAGTTTGGTAAATTTTACAAGATATTACATAAAATGAGTAGCCATGAACGTACAAATGACAAAATGAGATGAAGTATTTTTGGCAGATTGGAAGCAGACCAGTCACAAGGGCAAGAGGCTACAGTGCTCAGTTACACACCCAGTGTTGTCTGCAATTTGAAGAAACAGTTTCAGGATACTGGATCAAGATAGAGAAGATGAGCACAAGATCAACCAAGATCCACGACAACAAACCAGGATACTAATTCAGAAGTCAAACAACAAAAATCAGCGTTATATTTTCAAATTTTCACAGGACTAGTTTCGATGGTTTTACCGAACCACCATCCTCAGCAAGAGCGCAAAGTGCAAATGAACGATATAGTGATATATAAATCAATAATAAGATAGTAATGGCCTTGGACAGAAAATTAAGCTAGCTGGCGTCATCTATTGATGGAAAGAGAAAACTAAAACATAATTTCCTTAAAAGCTGAAGGCAAAGTTAGGATGAATTGGAATTAGGATCGCTAACTAGAACAGAAAGTTTTTTTTTTTTTTTGTGAATGTGAAATGCCTCTAGAAAATCCAGTTCTCCAATGGAAGATGTTTTTTCAATAATTTTGGCAGCAGAAAAATTTAAAGTGTGATTTTCGGACCAATATGTTGGACTGCATATGTCCACTGACATTCCTGCATATGTTTGATAAAGGCCCCCCCGACTGCCATATGGTGGAGGAGATCTAAGAGCCCTAAGTTCGACTTTTCAGGGACGCAGTTGGTTTTTTGTTCCTGTTAATGGATGACAATGTTTGTTCACATGGGACTCAAGTGGTCAAAGATTATCTGAAAAGATGATATTTGGTGCATGGATTGGCCAGCCAGATCTCCTGACCTTAGCCATACACAGCATATCTGGAATGCTCTTGGGAAGGCAATTTGATCTTGCCATCCTCCTTCAAGAATCAAAGTTGAAAACTGCTTTGCCGCAGGAGTGGGATCAAATGCGACAAAGACTGCTCAATTGCTTCGTATCCAGTACATTGTCATGCTGCGTGAAGCTCTGACTGGGAGAAAGGACCATACGCCACATTAGGCTCACTTTCAGTTCAGTATCACAACATGGATTTTTGACATTTTTGCACTATGAGCTTTACTGACAATCATGAGGACATAAAATGACTTTTGATGGTTTACCTCTTTCTCTGTTATAAAATATATTCATATCAAATTTCACTAAAATCTTTTAGTTTTTCAGAAGTTCAACATAATGTGGAAATTCTCTTAATTTTACTCCTCTGTGTGTATATAAACAGACATTACATTAAACAAAATAAAAAATGAAATTAAAATAACATTAGCCTAGCAATAGCACTAAAATTATATAGCTATATATTATTTTTCTTATTAAGCACAAAATGAGGAAAGGAAGAGGAGAGAAAGAGATTTAATATATATATATATATATATATATATATATATATATACCTATACTATTATAGTCATCTGCATCAAAAACATAAAAACAGTTTATTTCATTCTCAGTCATCTTGGACTCACTGTCAGTAGGGGTACAAACTGAAAAAGAAAGATATCTGATAAATTTCACTAAAAAACTAAAGAATTTAAAAAGTTCCACTATTTATAAAAGCAAACAATTATCTCTTGAGCTATAGCAAGACACATATGATATTATAAATATTTTGTTAATTAAAATCATGTTTATAAAAATGATACGATACAAATACATCTAATATTATGAATAATATTAGATGTATCACTAAGTACCTAAAAGGTAAATAAATACCTATTTTTTGTAAAATTGGATCTTTTTTGAAAAACTCAAATCTGTTACTGTTGTCTCAAGTCTGTCATGTTTAAAATGTGCTACACGTATATTCAATTTTATTTTTGCATATTCAAAAAGCCGACCTTTTTATTTCGCTTCTTATTCCTTTTTAAGAATTCTTAAATAATGAATATCAGAGGAGTACAAATTAATGAATTATAAGAAAAATTCTGAAGAAAATTTAATGCACCTGGACCTACAGACAAAATGATTTGTAAACAAATTTAAAAAAGCTTAATAAGTACATGACAAGTTAAAAAGAAGGCGACCAAGGACTCTAACAAAACTGAATGAATTCAACAGATGTTACAGACTGAACTTACAACTTTGGTTGGGGAGGCTAATTTCAGACTCAACATGCCCAAGATGAGAGTTCATACAGTTTTGCTTTCAACACTTATGGAAAAACCTTATCACATTCAATTGCTGCATACATCTCATGAAAAAAATTGTTCAAATAAAAAAAGCAAGGTGTACAGAATTTATAAAGCAAATTGAAAATGTAAAACCTCCTGGATAACACCTTTCTTATTCAGTGATGAGCTGACTCCACACATGCAATAAGGTCATTCAACATAAGTGTTATATCTGGACAAATTATAAAACAAATAAATTCATGGAATGCAACTCTCCAAAAGTTAATGTATGGCTTGGAAGATTTATAAATTCCTTTTTTGTAATCATAATCAAGTTGCAATAATAAATATAATTTTTTTTAATCTACCAAAATAAATAGTAAATTCTGGAAGACAAAATAAAAATTTTGGAACACCCTGCACACACAAAATAAAATTAAGCATATTTTTAATCTATTTTAAATTGGATAAACATTTTAAGATGTGTTTTAAAAAGTGTCCAATTTTGCAAAAAATATGTACTTACTTTTGATATACCCCGTATTCAAAAATATTTTATCTATACCAATAAAAGAACCAGTTTGCCTATACATGTGGGTGTGTCATCTTTTTATTAATTCAATTAATGCTTATAAAATTTATCAGTTAGATATATAATATAAATACAGTACAAAGTCTGTAATCCGGACGTCCATTATCCGGAATGATCTATAATGCGTATCTCAAAGCCACAAACTTTTTTTTTTCTGTATGCTTTACGCGTGCGCGTTTAATGTTTACGCATTCGTGTTTAGCACAAAAAACGAAGCAACTTAAACGACTTACATTGAAAGAAATGTTTAATAAGGTAAACAAATAAATATTAAGCTTTTTTTTGTAAATTTTGATATCCTTTAGATAATAATTGCTCTTTATTTGATAAATTACGGTTTCATATTTTTTATTGTATAACTTCTGCGTGCCATTTTACCAGATTTAAATTGATGATCTATAATCCAGAAAAACCCTTAATCTGGAATCGTCGAAGTCCCGATGAGTTCGGATTACGGACTTTGTACTGTATGTGTCTATTCTTTTTTAAAAGCAAGATGAAAACAATTATGCTACATAATTTGGAAGCCTGTATTTTTAAAGAATGAGATTGAAGAATAATTACTCTTTTGGAAAATTATAGCTCACTAGCAGCACAGAAGAGAAGCTATGGATTGATAAAACTGTACCTGATAAGAGGTTAGTAAAGCCTTTTCTGGGAGGGGGAAGAGAGAAAGAGATTATGGTAACTCTTCATGAGTTTTTTTAATTAGTTATTATTTAAAATAGAACTATTATTTTTATTTGTGAGAACTGACTTTTGGAAAAAGTTGCTATATTCCTCGATTTTTGAAAAATGTTTACACTTTTCCTGAGATTTTCATTATTTTACAGGTGATTAGGGACTGTGAATCTCAAAAAAATGGGCATAGGGACCAAGAAAAGATTACAGGATTCCATTTTCAAAATCAAATTTTTTTGCTAAATGTTTTTCTTTCAGTTAACATCACAGAACATGCTGGATACAAAACTAAATGTAAATTAAACAGAGAGGGAAAAAAAATTAAATCCTTCAGGTGTAAACCTGCATTATAAACAAGAAGTGCAATCATACCTCCATATATGATGTTACCCGCAGGATTAAATGTAACACAGCGTTGACTTAGTCCAGCTACTGTCCGTAGAAGCTTGAAAGTACGTAAATCCCACTTTGTGCCATTAAGAAAATATATTTCTAATAATACATACATAAAAAAATCTAAACATAATAACCACAAAAGGAAAAAAAAATTACTTAAATACAACACCCTTTAGTCCTCCAAGCTGCTATGGGTTTAACCTAAAACCCTAAACTTCATAAAAAGGCCATGAGTAAATTTTATTTTCTCGATTTTAATTCCCAAATAACCCTCCAGTTTTGCACCTTGTCACTTTTTCTACAACTACTAGCTAAACTGTCTGGACTAACTAAGATGTAAACTGCTGGCTATCCAAAATGCAACATCATTAAGGAAGCATTCAAATAGCACGAAACTTGCATCATGTGTATACTGCCATGGGATATGCATAAATTATGATTTCAGTGAATGCACACATCCTGGGTGACTGAAGCACGTCTTACAGTCCATACATTATAATTGTAAGTGAGGAAAGATTGCCATTTTGAATAACGTCAATTGTTCTTTTGAGAGCCTTTTTACCTGAAACTTCAGTATGTAGAAAAACATGAGCATCTTTTGGGCACATTTTTATGAGTTTGACAGAAGCTATATACGGAGATTGCAGATCATCCTTCTGGAAAAACAGTCATTATGTCGGATGTAACCAAGCAAGAGTCATGCGAATATGGAATCAGTGAATGCAGAAGGGAATGATTGTCGAACAGGAAGTGCAACCACCTTGCTGCATCACTCAGTGGGAAGACAGACATATTGTGTGCATGGTACCAAGAGAGCACACTGCCACATATGCAACCAAGACCATCAGAAAAAATATTGCAAAAAGGAATCCCCAAGCTGTGTAAACTGTCACAAAATCAATGTAAAATTTAATGCAGGGTTAAACACCCATCACGACAGTCGCGACAGAAAACGTGCATGCTACTTAAGAGAGTTACAGAAATACAAACTAAGAATAAATTATGAGTAAAATCCAAGTTCTCCAGATAAACCTACAGCACTCTCGGGGTGCAACTACATACTTAAGAGAACATTTAGAACAAAATAAAGATATAAAGATAGTATGCATGCAGGAACCCTACGTAAGAAACAATCATCTACAAAGATTCCCCACAAGATTCAAAAAATTCTACGCAACATAAAACGCCAAAAAAGCTATCATACTTACGGACCAGGCACTCCCTGCCTCGGAGGTCATTAGCACAGATAATATCACAGCAGTGCAAATTGAAGGCAACCACTCTTTCCTGATTGTTTCTGTTTACTGCCCTCCCTCACAGGAAATTGAGCCTATATTGGCCTCGCCAGAGAACTTAATCATAACAAATGATTCTATCTCAGTTATAATCAGCGGGACTTCAACGGAAAACATCCAATTTGGAGTCCCACCCAGCCAGACCCAAGAGGTCTCGAGATCTGTGAGCTACTAGCAGCTACAAGTTTAGCCGTCATTAATAACCCTGATAGCCCTCCTAAAGTTTCTGGTTTCACAGGTACCTCATGGATTGATCTCACTTTATTTCGGAAAGAAAATCCAATTGAAATTTCAAATTGGAAAGTCCAGGAGGAAGCAAACCTTAGTGACCATAACTACGCCCAATATGACATCGATAATGTAGACTTACAGAAAAAAAACACCAACAAGATGAAACCAAGTCATATAGACTGGATGACATTCAGGCAAAAATTTGCAAAACAATATTCGGCAGTTTCACTACCACATATCATCACAGAAATAAACAAGCACACAGAGATCACCACGATACTCATCCATGAAATTATGAGCACACTAAAAAAGTCGGTAATTCAAATAAGAACAACAAACACTATTGAAGCAACCCATGGTGGAATCAGGAGCTCACGATTATAAGAAAAAAAGGTACGAGCCTTACAGCGGTGGTACCATTGCACCTTAGGAGACAAGTGCACCAAAAACAGAGTCATCTACAAAAAGGAACAAGCTATTTATAGACAAAAGATCTTAGAGGCCAAAAGAGCATCCGAGGACACATTCTGGGAAAATCTTCAGATGTCTTCCCCGTTCAGGTCCTACTATGATATCAAATGCCTAGGACCCTTACAACTAAGCTCAATACTCAAACCAGATGGGACAACCACAACTTCAGTTGAAGACACTATTAGAGAAATTGTCAAATATCACTTTCCCAATGATACTCAAGACAAAGACACCCCACATTACAGGAAGATAAGGAGATCAGCAAGCAGCCCTCCAAACAAATGATCCCCCCTTCACTACCACAGAAATTCGAAAGATCATAGAAACTACCAAAAGGGGCAAAGCCCCAGGCATGGACAAACTCAATATAGACTTCGTCGAAGAGTTGAGAATCACAAACGAATACCAACTAGCATATATCTTTAATGCGTGCCTTCAAAAAGGCTACTTTCCAGATGAAAAGCGATTTCAAAAAAGAGGGCAAAGACAGTAAGTATCTGAACGCATATAGACCTATCTGTCTTCTCTCCGCCTGGGGAAGTCCTAGACAAACTAATAACCAGACGTCTCACTTTCCACCTGGAGAAAAACCACCTCATGAACAAAGTGCAATATGGTTTCACGAAGGGAAAGAGCACCATTGACGCTCTTCACAATCTACAAGAGCAAATACACCGTAACAAGCAGCGAGGTCTCCACACATGTGTTATCTCCTTAGATGTAGCCTCGGCCTTCAACCAACTCTGGTGGCCAGCCTTCAGGGATCAACTCAAACATCTTCAATGTCCTAAGAATCTGTTTCGGATCATAGGCAGTTATCTTCACAATCATAAAGTCACTTACCAGCGGGACGGTGTCAGTGTCACTCACGATTACTACAGAGGTGCTCCCCAAGAGTCCAATATTGGTTCAATATTGTGGAATCTCATTGCGAATACTGCATTAGATCCAGATTTCAAAGGAAATGCACAAATCCAGGCCTACACCGAAGATTTTCTCCTAATCATTCAAGGAGGTAATCGCACTGAAATAGAAAACAAACGAAAAAGGCATTAGATCTTATCACTGACTGGAGCCTCAAACTCGAGCTTAAATTCAGCATCGATAAGACAAAAATGATCACCTTTCCAAAGGGTAATAAACTTGTAAATAGCCCACCCCGTATTAAATGGCAGGGCCGTGAACTAAAAAATGAAGTTACTTTAAAATACCTAAGATTCTTACTTGATAGGAAACTCACCTGGGTACCACACTTAACGATGATACGAGATAAAACCTCCAATCTTATTAATAGCTTAAATCGCATTGTCACAGATAAATAGAATCTAAAAGGGAAACTTCTGAAAGAACTATATCTGCAGGGCATTGAAAGGATGATCCTTTAGGGCTCCCCCATCTGGATGACTGGCACGGTCAGGGTTCGCAAACTACTCCAAATTCAACGCATCACCCTTCTCAAGATCACTAAGTGTTTCACTACCACATCCACAGCAGCTCTTCAAATCCTTGCAGAGGTTCTCCCCTTAGATCTCAAAGCAGAAATTGAGTGTGGTACTTGTAGGTTAGTTCATTTTAAGGACACCTTCCAGCTGGATGACTCCTCAATCATAGACCAGCTCTCCTTAGAACCACATTCCCAATATACTCTCATCCACCCATCTCTCACGAAAGATATAAAATGGCTTAAACATCTACCAAAAGGACAGGACTTAGAAATCTTTTCTGATGGCTTTAAAGTTTCAGAGCAAGTAGCTGCAGCCTATGTTGCTTCTACAACAATACAGAAATTCACTCAGCACAGTTCAGACTTAGTGACCACGCCTCGGTTTTCCAGGCTGAGTCCTTCCCTTTAAAGAAGGCAGCTCTCTGGGCAGGCAACACCATTTTTCCATCCATCAGCTTCTATACAGACAGCATGAGCATCCTACAGGCACTGAACAAGAATGGCACACAAGCCTTCCACATCTCTTCATTAAAAGAAGTGCTTATTAATCTGTCTTCTTCCAAGCAAGTGTCTCTATACTGGGTACGTAGTCATCAAGGTACCCAAGGTAACGAAAGGGCCAACTCTTTAGCTAAAGAAGCCATAAGTCACCCCTTCATCACCTCAGAAATACGACTTTCCATAGTTGCTGCCAAACACAAGATCTTCTGTGCCTTCATGTCCCTCTGGCAAGCTCGCTGGGACGACTCAGACACCGGTCGACACACCTACTCCATCTTTCCCATGGTTTCCACCAAAAGGCTGAAAACAGATTTCTATCTACAACAAGCTTTCTCAAATCATGGAAGATTTCCCGCATACCTCAGCAGGTTCTGCCATCAAAACGTAAAATGTGCCTGCGATGCTTCAGCTTCTTCAGCAGACGTTTCACATTACATCCACGACTGTCCACTCACTTCTGCCATCAGAGCCTTCCTTCCTCAGCTTCAGGGATCACATAGCCTCAAAGATCTTCTTCAGGATTACTAAGGACAGCGGGGCATCAGAACTATCATAGAGTATGTCTTTTCTAAGAGAAACATAATCATAGCAGATAACCAGGTCTAAGCAACTGACGAAATGTAAAGGCAGCAAGCCTCAACTCATGTATATATCTCTAAGTTAACTAACCCTTTTTGCTAATTTTATACAAACATTCCCAAAAAATTGTAAGTTGGAGCACCCAACAAAAGTAATAACTATTGTTAAAAGTAGTTGGTAACACAACAATCAGTGTCTGCACAAACAACTTGCTGCCATTTACAGTACAATGAACTGTCCACTAAGTGCTTACATTTAAATAACAGGTGTTTGTGCTTGCAACGGTGCACTGAACGGTGGAGATGACATCCGAATGGCATGACATTTGTTTTTTTGGATGAATTATGCTTCTGGCTGAAGTACCGTGATAGTCGGATTAGAGTTGGTAGACACCGGGGAGATACATTGCTCTATTGTTCTGTTATACATCATCATACTAGATCTGCACACAGTTTTACGGTGTGGGGTGATATTGGATTCTTCTCCCACATAGAGTTGGTTGATCCACTCCAGAACTGATTCAAACAGCCAATTCACTTTACTGAGTGA